GGCTCCCGCCGCGGGGCCGGCTCTGGGGCACCTGCTCTTCCCCGGTTTAGGGCAGACACACATGGCCTGCAGCACCCTGGAGCATCGGGCCCTTTCACTCCAGGTGGTGGCTGGGTTTGTCTTTGGGATGCTTCACTTTCTTAAAGCCGAGCGGACAGAAAGGTCAGTAACAGGCAGTGGGAAAACAAACCAAGTAACGTAACGCTAAAGCAGCAGCTTCCGGCTCCCTGGGTTAGTATTTACTGCTGCGACTACGGGAGCTGGGAACACAGAGTGCGGCTCAGCTGTCTGAGATGTGTTGGGAATCATGCGTCACATGCCGATGATGAAAGAGCGCTCTGGAACACCGGGAGAGGGTAACAAGTGTCTACGAGCCAAAACGTGTACAGCTGCAGATGGGCTGGAATCCCACCGCCATCCCTGACGGCCGGAGGAGTCGAACCGCTTACAGAGAGAAACTCACGCCAAGCAGAGGGTAAAGCGAGGGCTGGGAGCCACAGCAGCACCCTTGGCTCACACGGGGAGTGCGGGCTGGAACCCAGAAGTAGAGGGTTCGGGGCAGCAGCCCAGTGGGCAGCAGGATTTAGATCATGTTGTCTCCTGCAGGGCCCAGCGCATCCCTTCCTTCTCCACAGCGAAGGTAACAAATGGCAAAAACCGTTCACAGGACGCCATTCACACGGACACCGAATGGAACACACCACGGGAAAGGGAGGGACGTGCAGCACCCCTCAGCGTAACGGGAGCAGCAGGACAGCACAGGCGGGCACTCCGGTCTGAAAGCACCACCCAGGCAGAATCCATCAGCTTTTTGAACCGTCTGCAAAACTGAAAACAAGGGTCTCCTCCTAATTAGTGTTAATCTGTAAAAGGTTTCCGGACACTTTGAAAATGTGCCTTCGCAAGAATCTCACCCCCCCAACCCATCACCCCAAGGGCCCCAACAAAGGAATCCGCTCCTGAGCACTGCTAGAGTCACGGTTTGTCTTCAGAGATGCTTTGCTTTTTCCTTCTTATTCCTCTTCCTCTTCCTCCTCTTCTTCCTCCTCTTCCTCTTCCTCATCGTCGTCTTCATCGTGGCAATGTGTGATTTCCTGAGGTGCCTGGGGGAAGAGGTTGGGAGGTTTGATCTCACTGATGGAGCGGGTCAGCTGATGCCGCTTGTAGTCAGAATCTTTAAAATCCACTGAGGTGCGATTGCGCGTGGCCATCGGCGACTCCTTCTCATTGATGTCGACGTGCGTGTGCTCCACCGTGGACTCGTGTGGCATCTACAGGTGCGAGAGAGAGAGAGGAGATGGCGAGGGCTGTCCCAGCCCCCGGGCACCTCCCTAGGACGCGTGGAGAGCAAACCCCAGAACGTGGCCCTTTGGCCTGCCGTGCATCAAAGGCCACCCAGCCCTCCAAGGTGCCATCCCCGGTGCTTGCGGCTCGTGGAGGTGTTAACGAACACACGCGCAGGCACCTTTGGGACCCCTGCCCGCCTCCCCGGGGTCTGCGGCTCACCAGGACGTGGGCGGCTCTGAAGAGGTAGCTGAAGGGGTAGTAGAGGAGGTTGATGAAGGAGGCTGCATAGAGATCGGCATAGCGCATCACCTGGCTGGCAAACAGGGTCTGCCGAGAGCCGCTGCGGAAGAGGCTCCCCATCATCCCGTAGCACATGTCCATGTCATGGGTCACTTTCTGCAAGCAAAGGGCAGGTCAGGTCCCGGGCTGGGCCGGCAGCAGCTGGGAGCCACGGCAACGCCGAAGCGGAGCGCACCGAGGGCGGGGGCTACATGAGACCTGCAAGGATCTCCAGCATGGCTTTTTGCGCTCGTATCCTGCAGCGCCGGAGCACAGCCAGGCCCCAGCTAACCCAGGGAGGGAAAGGCAGCAGCAGGCTCAGCGCCAGCCCCGGCCCCAGGCTG